ATATATGTAGTGAAGAGTTCACTTTTTTATAATTATAATACACATCAAATCTCTAGGACTGATATGCTCAATGAAGTAAATTAAAAAAAAAAAAAAACACTTACTTTGGAGGAAGTGTCACAATATTCCCCGGTTGGGAGAGGGAGAATTCACCAGCATCTCTTCCAATAATTGTAGCTTTATACTCTAAGCTTTTTGAGCTTGAATTTTTCAGCAGAATCTATGTTGCAGAACAAGAGAGTATAAATAAAATCATGAATTTTAAAAATATACAACTTAACATTTCTTATGTTTATCAAAGAGAGCTACACATTTTAATCATAAAAATATTGGTTCCTAATGTACACAAATTGAAGAAAAACAGACTTTGTATTTGAAGACAGCACATATGTAGTTTAGCAGAAGTGATGTGGGAGAAGGAGCTTTCAAACAAGGAAATGACAGACGTAAAAACACCTGATAAACAAAGATTTGAAGTCCAAAGTTAGCAACTTGGATTTTATTCTTATTGAAAAGGAAAATCTTTGGAGAATTTTAAATATAGAACTTAAATAATCCAATTTACAAAAAAGATATGCTGGCTGCTCAGAAAGTTATAAGGAATGTAGGTTTAAAATCAGAGGTCCAGGTTGGAAATGATGGTTGCCTCATCTAGAAACAATAGTATAGCTAGGGTTTGGCTGTCCCTTCCTTCTTGATGCTAAGATATGCATAGTATTAGAGAATGAGTTATTTCCTTTTTAGAGAGAGTATTCCATTAAAAATGTGAGTATATAAGTGTTTATGTAGAATATAGTGGGAATTCAAAAAAACACACACACACACAACTTAGGAAGACGCAAGGTTATCATGGAAAGTACCGACCCAAAGGAAGGAGAAGACCTAGGGGAAATGGATGATTGGCCAAATTAGAGTAAAGAAGAGGTGAGTGCACTTAGGCATTCCAGGAAGTACAGTCACAGATATCTGAAGAGTTAATAATCAGCACTACATGTGATTACAGCAAATTGTAAGGAATATGGTAAAGATCTGGTAAAATATTAAATTATTTGGTAAAATATTTCAATGAAAACCTTGGTGACTACCAGGACAAGTATGCTGTTGTCGAAGAGTTTTGACATTCAGTTTTCCCGAGGATTTGGGGGTCTCATGTTGCTCACCTACTTAGAGATATCAGTTATAATGAAGACAAGACTACTACAGTATGTTATTTTTATTATATATATATGTAAGGACGTATGTATGCACCTAAAGAATTAATTAATTGACCATGTGATTTTTAAGTCCCAGAGAGCTAATTTTCATTTTCTGGAAGGAAATGTTGAAAATAATGGTAGAGTCACTGTGCACTAGTATTGGTTTATCATCCTGGAACTTGCATAACCAGCCCTAAAATCTTAAGGAAACCATTTATTCTCATTATGTCATGTCATATATGTATGACACAAAGGCACTGTGCTCACCTATGGTCAGATTATTCCACCCAACTCTAGCATTTCATGTAGGGGTGGTGAGTAGTAGGTAGACAGAGAGAAGGGAAAGCTGTTCAAGAGAAGGAAAGATAGCTGTGGAGCCGCAATTACCATTTTGCAGTGACAGTCATTCTTTAATGTGGTTCTGTGGTTTTGTTTCAAACCAAGGGGAAAAAAATAGTTCAACGGTTTCAAAACATGTCTCAGAAAATCAGAACATGCTACATATTTTCAGTGATCACTATATGGTTTAATGGTTCCAGTATTCTATGTTTTTGTTATTGTCATATAGCTACAGAAGTACTTTTTCAATTATAATAGTCATTTATGGCACTGAATGCATAGGGGCAAACTTTGTCTAAGATTCTCAGCAATTTCCAAATGAGTGATTTTTGTCAAATAAAATTTAAAATCAAACCTTGCTGTAATGGATGTTTCATTTTGTATTTACATTTAAATTTTATTTTTTCCTTCAAAAGATGCATCTTACATTTGAGAAAAATAGAAGCTGTTCTGTATATGTCATCTATAATCTTAAGTTATGAACAATATTTCTAGTAAAAAGTTAAATGCGGAAAAAATTATGTTTCCATTTTTATACGCTGTAATTGGATTTTTAATATCACAATTAAAAATTATGTTTAAATATGAGCTTGTGTTATTAACTACTTTTTAAAAATAACAGTTAAATGGCATAAAGAAATATAAACGTGCAGACAGAATTAGAGAATTGGTAATAAAACCTAGCTACAATAAATCACTGCTTAATCTAATTCAGACTCCTCCTAATCTTCTGCAGGCTTAAGCAAAACATTTCTAACACTTTGGAAATTTTATGTTGAAGTCAGAAGTCCTCTCCAACATAACTACAGCTCTAGGTTAGTCAGTACCCAAGGCCCTTGAATATTACAGTAGTTAGGGAATTATTATAATAAATACTTTGGAAAAAAAAACTTTAAAGAGTTTATATCTCTTTCTGACACAAAAAAAAGGGAAAAGAAAAAAATTAAATAACAGGGATCATATCTCAGAATTTGCTAAAAAATAAATCAAAAGGAGTGACTTTTCTGTCTCTAAATTGAGCCCTTTATGCTTTGACACAAGAACCTGAGCTTTTCCTGATTTTTAACTGACTTCTTACCAACCATCACTCCTATTGTCACAGAGGATACATAGTTATTTTTTTCAAAGAGGATACAATTATAAATCAACATCACCAGGACATATATGCTGAAGATCAAATATGGACAAGTTTTGCATCGGAAGTATAAAATTAATTCCCACTCATAAATATGAAGAGGAATATATAAAATGGCCTGAGGAAAAGAAATAAACATCATTTCACTGTAGGGAGCTAAAGCTCCCCAAATTCAAAAGAGTGCATGGATTATCTCGGGAGGCCTGCTTGCATAAAATAGAAAAGGCTGGTTCTGTGGAATTCCAGGAAGAAGAAGATTAAGTATAGCCTAAGGGAGTGTCGAAGGGAGTGTCAAAGGAAGTGTCAATTGTACCTGGATCTTCAGGATGTTACTTTTATTATGTTATTTTGGGATACACAAAGGAACAGATTGTGTTTAAAAGAAGGATAAGAAATAAACTCTGAGAGACAGTTGTGAGATCTGTTCTCCCTCCTGCACCCTGTCTGTCTTCTCTTTTTTCTCAGTCCCCGCTCCCCCATTCAGGTACCCGGTTTGACTTGGTCGGCTGGCTTCCGACATTTCACCAAAACAGTAAAATAACTTTTGTACAGAATAAGGTTCTATCAGCCCATAGTATCCTGAGAAAGAAGCAAGGAGACCACCTGTAAACCTGGTTGAAGAGCTTATGAAAACTAGAAGAAACAATCTTAGATAAATATAAGCGATTTAAAATTGTACGATACAAAATATTTCACAAGTGTTCATATGAAACAAATTGTTTGAGAAACAAATCTAGGTCAATGATCCCTGATATTTATCTAAGACAACACTTGCAAAATACGGACACATTTAAATATATTTGTTATGGTCACAGGACCTAAAATTTCATTTTCAATTTTTTTCTGAAAATTAAAAAATTCACTATTACACATTTAGCAGCTCCACCATATATAAAATCCTTTGGCAAAAATTAGGTGGCCCTGGTTGGAAGTGCTTCAATTATTACTTCCCTTTCCATATCCTCATTTGGACAAAATCCATCTGGACACGTAAACCGCTTTAAAAGGAAAGCTAAGCACATTCAGATCACAACTTTTCACTTATGGTGTCTGTCTTCTAGTGAATGAAATGGATTTCAAGTTTCCTGAAAGGATTTCCCCTTCAAAGTGCATAACTTTCATTTTTCACCTCCCCAAACTCCAATCTTCAAATGAATGAAAGACTCTTCATTTCATTGTAAGTGGTGATTATTGTTAAGCAAAAAGTGTCTCTTTCACTCTGCTACATGTTTGGTTAGAAGGAGCAACATTTGCTAAGGCTTATTGTATCATACTGATACTTCTGTTAACTTTGATTTGTGAAAGAAACATTAAACCCCCACCCCTTAAGTGTTTAACTCCATGTATACTTTGGCCATAAATATATCCTTACCTGTCTTGTTACAGTGTCATGTAGAGTACATTGAAAGGTCACCGTCTCCTTGGGGAGATATGTAGGGAGTCTTTCATACATGTAGACACAAAGCATGAGCATCAAGATTGGATTAGGGTCACAGATGTCAGAGGCCTAATTTAAAAGAAGAGAAATATAAATTAAAAGATATACAGATAAAATATATAACTAGAACTAAAAGCATAGTACAATTGTTAAAATATTTTAAAATTTTTAAAAATGTTACTGATCGACAATGATACTGAAATATTGACACAGCAAACAAAATATTGCTGTGAATCTGAAGAGCTTGACCTAAGTGTTAAAAGATGAACGAGATGTGTTCTAAGTATAGCAATTACCCAAGAGCCTCAAAGACTCCATAAAAGCCAGTCTGAGGTCAGAAGAATGCCATGCACTAGAAGTTCTGACTAATGTGAATGAGACACTATCCTTGAGATAAAGTATCATAGAATGTAGTAAAAGAAAACTTTAGAAGTAGACAAAATACTTAAATAAAAGATGGCAAAAGATTTTCAAGCAAAAGTCCAAGAGAGAAAGTAGCACATGAGATGACCTTGAAGGCTACTTGGATTTTAAACAGGTAGTGTTTGGTGTAAGGAAAAGAGTGTATCCTATCAGAAAGACAGAAAATTATAGGGCAAGACAATAGGGAAGTATAGTGTTTGTCTGGAAAGAAGTACAATTTGAAACACACATAAGGAAAGAAGATTCAGGTAGTGAGAGAAAAGACAAAGGAGTGCCAGGGCCACGTCGTGGAGGGCATGGATGCCAGGGTGAGAGAAATAACACAAGAGCAACAATTTAAGTAGATCTAGCAGAGGGTGGTTGGGGGAGCACTTTTCCCAGAACAGACAAATTATAATAAGGCAAAAAATGTAGTTATACTGATAGACAAGATACATTAGTGATAGTTGTTGGAACAGATTTAAAATCCAGACTACAGAGGAATAACCATAGAGACAATCAACATAGCCAGAATGTACAATGAAGCTAAAAAGTACAGTCAAGAGCAGAAGGAAGGATTCTTTCTACTGATTTATATAGCGCCTAGAACAAGGTGGAGGTAGTGGGGGAGAATTATTCATAGCAAAAGAGGATTGGGGTTGGTCTGAGGTGAGGATTCGAAGGTGTATAAAACACCACTGATAAAGAAGCAACTCTGTCATTGTCAGTGTACAGAGAGCTCTCTATACTTCCACAAAATGAAGATCTACTATGACTTAACGGCACACATTCAAGTTAGCAACTAAAAATAATCTGGGCTTGGCCTGGGAATGTAAATAGTGTGAGAGCGAAGGATATCCAATATGTTACGCAGCAGTCTCCCATTATCTGCAGTTTCACCTTCCACGGTTTCAGTTATCCATGGTCGACTGTAGTCTGAAAATATTAAAAGGAAAATTCCAGAAATAATTCATACATTTTGAATTGTGCATTGTTCTCAGTAGTGTGATGAAATGTCCCTCCATCCTGTCCAGGATGTGAATAATCCCTTTGTCCAGCGTCTCCATGCTGTATACACCTAACCCACCTGTCAGTCACTTAGTAGCCATGTCAGTTACCAGATCAACTGCCACAGTACTGCAGTGCTAGTGTTCAAGCCACCCTTATTTTACTTAATGCCCAAAGCGCAAGAGTAGTTATGTTGGCAATTCCAATATTCCAAAGAGAAGCTGTAAAGTGCTTCCTTTAATGAAAAGGTAAAAGTTTTCAACTTTACAAGGAAAGAAATAAAAATTGTATGCTGAGGTTGCTAAGATCTACTCTAAAAATAAATCCTCTAATTTGTGAAATTGTTACGAGGATAAAGAAATTCATACTAGTTTGCTGAGAGAGACCACATTCACATAACTTTTATTATAGTATATTATTATAATTGTTCTATTTTATTATTATTTATTGTTAGTCTCTTACTGTGCCTAATTTATAAATTAAACTTTATTGTAAGTATATATGTATAGGAAAAAACATAGTATATAATACATATATGGTATATAGAGGGTTCAGGCTTCTGCCGTTTCCGGCATCCACTACAGGTCTCCTGCAGATGTGGCGTAACTACTATATGTAGAACTAAAGCACTGAAATTTGGCAGCAGTTACCAGAGAATAATGATAGCCAATTTGATCATTTACTAGTCCACACTTCCAAAAACATTATTTTCCTTCTTTGGAAGAAGACAAGGGTTTATTCTTTCGTGTTTTGTCAATAAGCATTTTGGCTTACCAATAAGGGTGCCTGGGGAGGGGACTGTTAATAAAAAATCAGGGGGCTGGCTAGCCTCAGCTAGGTAGAAAAATGTTATTGAGGGTGGTTTGAGGAAAACTAAGAAATATACCAAACCAAAATTCCAAGGTTTCTCATCAATATTCTGTGGTCCCACATTTCTTCAATAAAGACAATGGTAGTCAACAGATATAGGAAAATTATTTAAGATAAGAACAAACTAAAAAATGAAATATACAGTATAGAGTTTAATTCTCACAAAGTGACGAATATGGCCCTCCTGGGCCTTGTGTGATGGGCCACCCTATGGATGTGAGCCAAATAGGGCTGTCTACGGTGATGGGAAATGAGTTTGCTGGGCAAAGGGGAACACTGGTGGCAGAATGCTCTGGGTTCAAGTCTGAGGTCAATAAAAGTCTCTTGAACACTGTTTAGTGACTAAAACATAAGATATGGATAGCAATATAAAAATTATTCTAAAAGATCATCTTCGAAGATCATGTAATAGGGTGAAAAATGTAGTAATTGAAAATGAAAAATTATGTTTATTTAAATGGAAAATATATTTAATAACTAAGTCATTAAACTTAAAAACTAGAGAAAAGAGCATTCTTACTTTTTCTTTATGACAAATATCAATGAAAATAATCTAAATTATACTTTACTGTAAATTACACAATTACACTTTAGACAATCCTAGGTTTAAAATGCAAAATGTTAAAATAAGTTAAGTATCCTTAAAACAAGATTTTCATGTGAAATATCTTTCAAAGACATAACCATTACTTTCTCTATATAGGTCTAACCAAGAAGAATTTCAATTATATTGGTCTATTTTTACTCCTGATGACAGTATTTCCTACTGGACTAACAAAAGACAGGGAATTAAACAAACAAAAATTCATGATAGAGAAAGATGCTGGAGTAGAAATCTTGTCAACTAAATTCAAGTCCTGCTACTACAGAGTGCTATGATCTTGACAAAATCAACTGGTTTCCCTAAAACTCAGTTTCCTTCTCAGTAACAAGAAGAGTTGAGATAATATGGAGCTTCATTCATTTAATTTAATTCATTTAATTTGCTATGAATTCAAGATATCACCAGCTTTCAAACTAGACACCAATCATAACTAGCAGTACCCACTGACATACTATAATCCCTCAGAGAACCTTCCCAAAAGCAATTTTCTCCTTTCTTCTTTACTAAGAATCTCAATTTGGGGGGTATCCCACTGCCTTTATCAAACTGGTTTAGCTATAATTATGAGATGTAATTCTGGTCAATGATATACAAAGGGAAATATGCTATGGGACCATCGGGAAAAGTTTAACTTATGGAAAAAGACAAGCACAAGAAAAGATGCTACTCAACCAGCCCCAAACATAGATATATAATGAAGGTGTTACATGAGAATTTCAGTAGGAATTTTGTGCTTATCAGTGCACATGCCCAAAACAAAGCCAGTAGGTTGAGAAAGGCTGAGGAAAATGAATCCCTGAAAACTTTGTTGAAAAACTGAATAACTCTCTCTATACTCTTCTACCTGACTTCATCTTATGTTAAGATTTTGAATTTATTTTTAAACCACTTTTACTTGAGAATTGTTATTTAAGGTTGAAACATCCTAGTTGCTAAAAACAAAATTTTAAAAATAAATAAATAAATAAATAATAAATGTTAGATTATCTATTTAGATCCCATCACTATCCAGTGAATTTTATGTAGTACAATCTCTATAAATGTTTATTATATTTATTTTTGTATCCAACTCTCTGAACAAGGAAATGAAAATACATTCTGTGCTGAGTCCAAACAATTGCCACAATATTTTTGCTTTAAATAAAAACCATGTTATGAAAAGGAGAATATGTAATAACTTAGTTCCCAAAATTCCACAATAAGACATAACACTTTCACAGAAACTTATCCAGCTGATTCAACAGCTGCAAAGGACATAAAAAATAAGAAACATAAACATTAATAAATTCAGTGCTGAATTTCACAGTATTCAACTATGGACCAGTACTAAGCATCACCATTATTCACTATAGCTAAGTTAATTGAAGAGCAATTTATTTATCTATCTATCTATCTATCTATCTATCTATCTATCTATCTATTTATTTGCTTACTTACTTATTTACTTACTTACTTACTTATTTACTTACTTACTTATTATTTTTTGAAGGGTGATATTTTTAAACTTTGTTATTTAATGTGATTGGTAAATCCAGGCTGATTAAAAGTTAGGGAACTGGAACTGGCTGGGAAAAGCTTGGTAATTTCTGCTAAGTGAATCATCAATTTCTCCATTCATCAAATCATGGATATCTCTGCATTTTTATGTAGTAGATACATTTTAAAATATTTTTGGCTATACAGTAAAATAAACATTTGAGTCAACATATCTGAGAAAATCAAAAAGCAAAGGAAAGAATCATAATGTATGATGAATTAAATTTTCTAAACAAAGATATTTTGTTTCTTGTGAATCCTCAGCAAATTCTCAGGAGCCACCTTAAACATCAAGTGTCTCATGCAACTTTTCCTGGTTTCCTTATTAGAATGATGTCTTTCCCCTTTGAGTCTCACAGTACATTGTTTGTGTGTCTATTGTGTCATTCACTGTCTGCTTCACATCAGCTTTTTCATTTACTGGTCACTCTTTGTCAGCAACATTTTTGAAAGTATAAGTGTGCTTTAACCATATTTTTACCCCTTGCAGGGTCTATCCAGTGTCTTTCATGAAGGAGCTTTGATAATTTGCCCAATTGATGGAAATTTTAATATTTTTTATTTTTCCAAACCAAAATCTTTTATTAGACTTTGTCTCTGAAACTCTCTTATTAAAAAAATAAATAAAAAATTAAAACTCTCTGACTCAAATTCTTGATTACAGTTTCTCTTTACAACTCTACTAATATAAAAGAATGTAAACATTAAACCTGGTACAAAGTGACTTTAACATACAAGTGACTTTAAAACAAGGAGAAAGCAAACATTTACAAAATACCATTTTTTTAGTAGGTATTTATATCGAGCCTCTTTATATCAAGCCACATCTGGGCACTAGCATTGTCAATCCCTCTGCATCATGGAATGGAAAACTCAGAGTTAATTGTAATGGACCTTCTCCTCTGCCCCTCTGTGGCAAACCTCACCACATCTCCTATATCAGCACATTATTCTAAGTCCTCATTAAAGCTATTTGAATAAATACTTTCCTCCTTGACCAACTGAAACTGCATTTTGATTGGTCTGCGTTCTCTGTCTCCAGACTCTCTCCTATCAGTCCATCCTAAACACTGTTGTAAAAGTAAATGCCTTTATTCCCATAATCCCTACATGGTAAACTCCTGACTTTTTATGCTGATCTAAGAGCCCAATATATGCGTATGTCATTTTTCTAATCTTAAATTTCAACTGAGGCAACCTAGTCACACATTTTCCTTCATGTATGTCATTTGTTCACATTTGTTAAAAAAGAGATGACTGACCCAAAATAGAGTCACTTGTACTAGGCTCCTGTCACCAAATTGAGACTTAATACTAACCTAATTGCAGTTTTAGCCTCTCCCAGGAATGGAACCTTAACCAGTCAGTCTGGAATTTCCTGATAAGCACTAGTGAGGTAATCTGCCTGACAGAACACTGCCATCTCCCAAAGAAATGTGACCTTGCCTGAAACAATCCACTCTTTGCTAGTCACTTCCTTGTCCTGCCTCCCTTTATCTATAAAAACCTTTCATTTTGTACAGCTCCATGCATCTCCTTTCTAGTTACTAGATGAGATGCTGCCTGATTCATGAATCTTTTAATAAAGCCAATTAGATCTTTATATTTACTCTGCTGAATTTTTTTTAGCACATTCTGCATTCTGTTTATGCCATATCCTCAGAGTAAACACCTTCCTCTCTTACTACTACCAATCCAAATCCAATTCACCATTCAGGAACCCAAATAAGTCCTGCCTCCTCCACAAAGTCTTTGGTGTATCAGTCTAGATCACACTGATCTCTTCCTTTATCTGAATTCCGTACTTTATTTTTTACACATGTTGACAATTAAATGAGTAGAATATTATTTATCATTTAACACACATATATCTAGATAATTCAATGAGTTTTTATATTCTTTAAAGTCAGGAATTACTTACTATACTATTTCATTATTCTAAAGTAATAAAGGGGTCAAAAATGTTAAGCATACAATATATTTTTGATTATTGCTATTGAAGACAATGTAAAAAGCTAGATGGAATTATAACTTAGAGGTCCACGCGTCATAAAAATGTATTTTACCACTGTGATCGCTACATAAATACTTATCTTAAAACCAAAGTGAAATATTTTCTTTTTTGCTACTAAATTAGAAAACGATAATATGATATCTATAGTCAAACAACTCTGCTCCTTTAATTCATTCTTAGAGCTCAGTAAGGTAAATAAAGCAATAAAACTGGACCTATCACTAGAACTTTCTTATTATGTATAGTTGGATATACATAATTATATACATTTAAAAACAGCCAATAGAATTCTATGAAGTAATATTTCATTTCTACATTTTAACAATCTCCTGTGAAAAGACTTTCAATTTAGACTTAAACTTTGTGAAGAAAGGAATATTATGAAGGAGTCAACTAAAATTTTTCCAAAGAAGACATACTAATGGCCCACAGATATATGAAAAGATGCTTGACATCACTTATCATGAGGGAAATATAAAACAAAACCACAATGAGATATTACCTCACACTGTTAGAATAGCATTTATCAAAAAGACAAGAAATAACAAGTGTTGAAAAGGATACGGAGAAATGAGGACCTTTATACACTGTTAGTAGGAATGTAAATTGGTAGAGCTGTTATGGAAAACAGCATGAGGTTCCTCAAAAAATTAAAATCAGAACTACCATGTGGTCCAGCAATCCTATTTCTGGGTATATCTCCAAAGGGAATGAAATCAGTGTCGCAAAGGTATCTGCATTCCCATATTCAACTGCAGCATTATTCACAATAGTGAAGATATGGAAACAACCTAAGTGTCTCTGGACAGATGAATGGATAAAGAAAATGTGGTATACAGCTACAATAGAATATTATTTAGTCATAACAAAGAAGTAAATACTGCCATTTGTGAAAACATGGATGAACCTAGAGGACATTATGTTAAATGAAATAAGCCAGACACAGAAAGACAAGTATTGTATGATTTCAATTATATGTGGAATCTAAAAAGTCAAACTCATAGAATCAGTGAGAAGAACAGTATCTGCCAGGGGGTGGGGATGGGGGAAATGGGGAGATGTTTGTCAGAGGGTACAAACTTTCAGTTATAGGATGAGTAAGTTCTGTGGATGTCATGTAAAGCATAGTCAGTATATTTAATGGTGGATTGTATACTTGAAATTTGCTATGAAAATAGATCTTAAGTTTTCGCACCACACACAAAATAATGGTAACTATATGAGGTGATGGATATGTTAATTAACTTGATTGTGGTAATCATTTCACATTGTGTACGTGTATACATTACATTACGACACTGTATACCTAAAAAAAATCACATTATACAAACTAAATATAAACAATTTTTGCTTGTCAATCATACCTAATTAAGCTAGGAAATAAATAAGAAAAGAAGTCATAAAATATTTATAGAATGTGTGATATAAAGGCACCCACCTGTATGCCCATGCTAAAGCCAATTTCACGAAGAACATTCACAATAATCAGGCAATTGTGAAAATACTGTTCAGGACTTTTTGGTTTTGTATACATATGTACAAAATGAGACTCAATCTGGAAAAAACAACAATCAAACCCTTCAATAATAGAATAAAAATGGCTAATTTTTAACTGTTCTCCGTAGTTCAATAAAGAATTGTTTAAATATTAACATTTATCAGTAGTAGCTTACTGCAATTAAAATACAAGAATAAGCAAAGGGAATGCTAGGCATGCAGATTGATGGGTTACATAAAATCAAAACATTTAAAAGAATCAGTCCGCTGAAAATACTGTGAATTTTAATTACTAAGTTCTTTCAAATAACAGAAAACTATTCTGCATAAAAAATAATTCTTACCAAAAATGGGCAATAGGCTCCCAACTGTGTGGCAAAAACAAGGCCATCTAAAAGGTCTTTGTCAAAATTTACTATCCATCTCTCAGAGGGAATAGTACCTGTTCCAAAAAAAGAGAGAGTAATTATAAAAATAGTTTTACTTTTCTAAAAAGATACTTTATGGGAATTTGAGCAATGGTCAAAGAAACATTTGTCTTTGTTTGGAAAAGAAAAATCATAGTATTTTGGAAATAAAAACAAAATTTAAACCTCAGAAGATTAATACCAGAAAATATATTTGTAAGGTTTTATAAGCAATTGTAACCCTTCTCCTTTATTTCTATTGGAATAACTTTGAAGAGTATATTACCATGTAGTAATGGAAGAAAAATGCAGGATTTCAAAATTACTCATTCTGTTGAGTACCTTGGAGTTTAAATGTTTGATCATGATCAATATGGTTAAGGAGACTCATAAGGCATAGTGTTACTTGTAACACTAAAGTTTTAATGCCAGCTTCACTATTTGTTGCAGAAATTCCTCCACACATGGGGTAAGAATGTGGAAGGGGTTGGAGAGTTATGGCTTAAAGAAACCAGAACTGATCTATAAAAGATAACATCAGATGGAGGAGTAATAAAAGGAATTCTCAGTTATGGAAATGACTACTACGTTGAGACTAAAACAAAAAGTGAAAGCATCTGGATATTTAATAAATATCTGAAAGACTATCCTATATTAGAGAGGGACATAGGGTGTTATAAACATTGGAAATCATTGCAATGTTAAATGAGACATTTCTTTTTTTAAAACAATTCCAAAAGGACCTAGATTCTTAATGGTTTGAGATGATCTCTTGTCTGAAAACAAGGGGAAAAAACTGATGATCTTTATAAACCCCGATTCTCATGTTTTGTGAAGAAAACATGACTGGATATGTTCATGACATGTATATTAATTTCACAAACCAGGATTGCTTTACATCTAGAAATGGAAGACTTAGTTTTCTCTGGAATGTTTTGGATATTTCAGAGAAATGGTGCCTGGTGCTTTTTCATCTGAGATGCTATAACATCGAACATTTCTATAAGATTTCTACAGCATATTATTACAAAATCGATAGAGCAAACAAAGATCACTAGAAATTTTCAATTAATACATAACAAACAACATCCTGTACTATAGTTTTCAAACTATTTTTTCCTGATAGAAACTTCTAAATAACTGTACATTTTATATAAAATGTGATACAATCAAAGTAATGATTTTAAAATGCACATTATTAGTTGGCTGAATAATTATAACCTAAATGTACTCCTCTTAATGTATTTTTACCACTCATGGCTTTTGATAAAAGGGTCTCTTTTTTGTAGCCAATATTCATTTTTCTATGAACTAGAAGCAGTTCTAAATTTAATCCTAAAAAGGCAATTTACTAGCCTTTTAAGTTGATAGTGAATCAGTCAGTCAGCAGTGGATATAGCCGTGTCCTCTAAATATCCCATCCTTATCTTGTACAAACATTAGAGAAGGGATAGATATTCCCCTGAAGGAGTTTAACATCTTGTGGAAGGAAGATCACACCCACGACATGAAAACACCTAATGAAAAATCTTATTAGAAGCTAATGAATAGATAACAATATAGCAAAAACTAAGAGTTATACTGTTACTATCAAGTTCACCAACTGCAATCCAGCATCACAAGATTCATTATTATCTATCCCTTTCCCTTATTCTAACTTCTTTCTTCAATAATTAAAAACTTGGCTCTCATTATCTACAATATATTTACTTGTTTGTTCAACCTCAGTATACATATACTCTCAGAATAGTAAATCCATACCCCTGTAAGAAAGTAACGTGTGTTTAGTTCTTTTTGTCTTTAGTTCTACAATATGCAATTATGATACTTTTTTCAAAAGCTAATAAGTCAGCCCCTTTCTTCTCCACCACATTCAGTGAGATCAAACATTTGGAATGCAGTTATTTTGTCATTTGTCACATTCATTTGTCATAGTCTGCATTCCATCCTGGATTAGTTCCATGTCTAACATTCTTTGTGCAGTGTCTATGATATTGAGAGACAGACTGTTATGTATTTACTACCACATTTCCATACAGAAAAGTTTCATCACTCCCAAAATTCCCATGTGCATTTTAGATATTTTCATAGATATTTACCAATATCTATGAAAAAATATGATAGGATATCCATTGAAGTTACATCGAATCTATAGATCAATTTGATATCTTAACAATATTTAGGCTTATAACCACATGTGCATGGTATACTTCACTGTTTATTTAGTTCTCTTTAATTTTTTATCAGTGTTTTATAGTGTTCAGCACATATATCCTGCACATATTTTGTTAGTTTTATGCTTAAGCATTTTGTTCTTTGGTGCTATGGTACATTATATACTTTTGATATTTCAAATTCCAATTGTTTACTTCTATTATATAGAAACAGAATTTATTTTTGTATACTGATTATATATCCTACAACCTTGATAAACTCATACTAGGAGAATGAGTTCAAGGAGAATTTTTGGAGATTCTTCAAGATTTTCTATTTAACTATCATGTCGAATTTCAGCCCCTTTCCCAGGGGTAGAGGTGGTGGGTTTTTTTAAGTTTCTTTTGGCAGCTGCAATGAGTTTTCAGCAGGGCCCTAAGGATGACAGTATGCATTGTCCTTCTCCCCAAAGATTAAAGCTTTAGTTCTATAGGGAATATGAGATTCTGCACAAATTGCTTGCCTCTTGCCTAGGTCTGCACTATAAGGGGCATATTCTCCAGACTCATTCCAGTCATTTCTGTGAACAATCAATGAGATTTGTGGAGTAAAAACCTGCAAGAAGACAGACTCCTCCTATAACTGTTACCCCCTGTGACTTCATGCTCTTTCACTAGTGTATGCTTGGCTACTACCAATTCACCTACTATCCTATCTCAACTCTCATCAGTGTCTATCTGTCTCTACAAGTAGACGATGGCTGTCATCTCATTTCTTCATGTAAGCACATACTCCTTCTTGGATTCGGGCCACTTTGTTGGCCTACAGCCTCAACTTCCTAGTGGAGCTTTTAAAAACTGAGAATTTACTGTTGGTATGGCTTCTGCTGTTGTAACAACAATGCTCATTCCACTCTTCTACCTCCCTGAATGGTAACCAAGTAGTATGTACTTTTATTCAACCCATCACAACTGTGGAACTCCTTTTAAATTACTTGTCAAACAGCACGTGGCATGGGCTACTGCTGTTCAAACATGGCTCTCAGTGTGAATAGGATGGCAACAATTCTCCAAGACAATGTTGAGAAGAGGTAAAGACCAAACTCCAAAGCTCTTCTCTAATCTCTGATTCTAGGTCTGTATCTTACCATTCATAGACAAGGCTGCTGCCAAGTAAGAACCCCACCACAGTTTTTATTCCAGCCTTAAGTAAGTCAAGGATTTTCTCTGCTTTAATATTAGTTCCTCTGATCTAGGCTATTCTCTCTTCTATGCTCCTAAGATTTTGCTACCCAAAGTGTGCTATGTGAATCATTAGCACCTTCATCAACTGGAAATTTGTTAGAAATGCAGAATTTCAGGCCCTGTTCAACACCTACTGCAACATAAAAACAATTTAACAAAATCTCCAAGTGATTTCTACTTGTATTACTGTCTGAAAAGTATGGATCTAGGGTTGTTTTTAGAGAGAGAACCAGTAGTCTCAGTTAGTCTTCATTTGTCAGGAAACCAGAAAGTTCAAGTGATGTTTCACAGATTTTTAAACATTTTAATTTGGAAGTTACATTTTTATCTGTTTTTATATTATATCACTTACAATAGAAAAATAAAAATATTATTAAAATGTTGGTCCTAAATAGTATTATGAATTAAGAAATATGGCTATTCTTAAACATAAAACAATCATTTCATGCATTGAAGGAATATGAGCATTCCCTTATTTTTATAAATATCATAATTGCTATATAAATTATATTTAGGTGATTATAACAGTACGTTTTTATAGCAGCTTTATTGATATATAATTCATATACTAATTTCACCCAATTAAATTGTCTAATCCATTGTTATTTATTATTTCCACAGAGTTTTACAATGATTATCACTACACTATCTAATCTTAGAAAGTTTTTATCAATGCATAAAGAAACCCAGATTATGAACTATCACTCTCCATTTACCTCTTCTCTCATTTCCTGTAAAAAAACTAAGCTACTTTCTGTAGTATAGATTTGCCTATTCTGGTCATGTCACAGAAATGAACTCATAAAATATGTGCCCTTTTGTGTTTTGGCTTCTTTCACTTAGTGTAATGTTTTCAAAGTTAAAGGCTGTAGCATGTATCAGTGCTTCATTTCTTTTCATGGCTGAATAATATTCTACTTTATAAATATACCACATTTTGTTTATCCATTTATAAGTTTATGGGCATTTGGATTGTTTTTACTTTTTGGTCATTATAAATAATGCTGCTTATGAACATTTATTTAGAAGTTTTTGTGTGAACATATGTTCTGAATTATCTTGAGCATAAACCAATAAGTGGATTTGGTGGAACATATCGTTTTTTAATCTATTTGCAATTTTGAGAAATCGTTAAACTGTATTCCAAAGTATCTGCAATATTTTTCAATCTCTCTAGCAATACATGAGGTTCTAATTTCTATAAATCCTTGCCAATCTTGTTAGTCTGCCCTCCTTTCTTTTTCTTTTTTAAAATTTTAGTCATAATCAAGTTGGTGTCAAGTGGAATTGTTGTGATTTTGTTTCGCATTTCCCTAATGACTAATTAGAACATTTTTTTTTTCATGGCCATTTGCTTATCTTCCAATTTTTAGAAATATCTGTTCAAATCCTTCGCCCATTTTTTAATTGGGTTATTTGTTTCCTTATTGTTGAGTTGTATTTTTTATATATTCTTGGCACAAGTCTCTTTGCTAAATATGTGATTTTGATGTTGCTATGTTCTTTGAAATGTGCATTTCCTCTTCTTATTCTATTAATATAATGTATAACACTGATTGGTATTTATGTTAAACCAATCTTGCATTTGTAAGATAAATTGCATTTGGTAATTATGTTTAATCCTTTTTAAACATTGC